GCTTCTCCACGCTGAGACGCCAGGTCTGCACCAGTCCTGGGTGTGGTTTCATTGAGCCAGCATGAGTGGTCTTGTCTGTGTGTGTAATCGGATTCTCCAGTTAGCCAGGAGCCCCCTGCCCCTCACCCTCAAATGTCTCCCTTGATTCACGCATGGACGTCTCCCACCTGCTTCCCGCAGGCATTCGTGACGCTGCCCTGGGCCGGGCGTGAGACGGCCATGCCGTGTGGTCACCTTCTTAGACACGAGTCTGTCAGTGACCCCTCAGCATCTCCCGAGAGCAGCCAGGGCACAGCCACCAAACCTGAGGGGAGGGATGGGGGGAGGAGAGCAGGAGTTGAGCTGAGCAGATCCCTGCACACAGGGGCCTCGCGACGGCCCAACTTCAGCCACCTCTGGGTGCCGGGGAAGCTTCTCCACGCTGAGACGCCAGGTCTGCACCAGTCCTGGGTGTGGTTTCATTGAGCCAGCGTGAGTGGTCTTGTCTGTGTGTGTAATCGGATTCTCCAGTTAGCCAGGAGCCCCCTGCCCCTCACCCTCAAACGTCTCCCTTGATTCACGCATGGACGTCTCCCACCTGCTTCCCGCAGGCATTCATGACGCTGCCCTGGGCCGGGCGTGTGACGGCCATGCCATGTGGTCACCTTCTTAGACACAAGTCTGTCGTTACTTGTTCTTACCTTGTCATCTGGCCAAAATAGGAGAAGGTGTACTGGGGCAGAAAGGTGTGATGAGAGCCCGCTGGAATGTCCCCAAAGAAAGCCCAATAAAGCCAGAAGTGAGCAGGTGGGCGCGGACGGGAGCAGCACAGCTGTGTCTCGGGATCCGCAGGGACGGTTTGCAGCGAGCTGGGGCCTGGAAGCTGGAGGCGTTTCAGGAGCTTAGAGCCAGAGGGAACCTGGAGGGACACTGGTTCTGGGCTCCAGGTGCCACTGAGAAGTTAGGAGTGGAGGAGGAGGCAGATGGGTGAGTACAAGATTAAAAATACTCAGCAAGGCGAGGAATTACAAAATCTCTGTGTGGTCAGAGTTAATGAGACAGGGAGATGTTCAGGCATATTCCTAGCACCTGGCAGCCCCAAAAGGGCCTCTGCAAACCCCTCTAAAGACCCCGCCAACCTGCCCCTGCTGGAAGACCTAAAGCTTCTTCCCTGGGGTGCAAACCCTTCCTGCATGGCCCATGTGAGTGAAGTGTCCTGCGTGTGTCATAGAAAGTAGCAGCAGCACACACTGAAGAGGCAGGAGCACCCAGAGGAACGGCCGGAGCCAGCTCCAAGGAGAAGTTGAGTGCATAGAGCTAGCTGGAGTCAACCTGGAGGTCTTCTTGGAGGTGGAAGTGTGGTTTCAGATGAGAGGAATAATTTCAGTGGTGGGACTTGTGTGGGAAAGCTGGGGTGGCAAGTGGGTGAGCTTCAGGAGTGGGACCCCTGGAGGGAGTGGAGTGTGAGCGCCGCAGGGAATGTGGGGGCAGGTGGCCCATGGCCAGCGGATGGGTTGCAGAGTCCCCTGGAGGGAGTGGAGTGTGAGCGCCGCAGGGAATGTGGGGGCAGGTGGCCCATGGCCAGTGGATGGGGGGCACGCAGGGTCCAGAGCGGGTTGCAGAGTACAGTCGGTTGCAACATCAGCACGGGGACCTGCTGCCTGGTAGCTTTTGTAATGTGCTTTCTGTCTGGGCAGCTGAGAAAAACTCCATGACGACCGATCTGATGAAGGTGCCGATGGTCATCATAGACTGGCAGGAATGTTTGAAGGTGTTTGCAGGACTTACCAAAAACATGCTATGTGCCGGGTACCAGAATGAAAGCTACGACGCCTGCCAGGTAACTAGCAGGGACCCCTTGCCCTCCAGCACTCACCCTCTCCGCTGCCAGTGTAAGGGTATCCTTTCTCCACTGGGAATATTCAATTAAAAGTCTGGAAGATGCGAGGACTCAGGGCCTTCAGCCATGGGCATGGGGACAGGGACTGCAGGGCCTCTGGCTGCTCCTCAGGGGAACAGCCCTCTTGCGCTATCAGTGCATGCTGTGAAGTCCATCAGCAGTGACCCTGCATAAATACTTCTGATCTTCTTCTGGTATGCTAGGTAGATAGAGCTCCAAGGTTTTCCCACTTCTGGGAATTCTTAAAATGCAAAAAGCCAAGAAGGATTGAGATCCATACAAAGACCCATTTTAATTTGTGAATTTAGCAACTCAGTTGAGCACACTAGGCCCTGGGGCCATGTAGGAGGTGTGGCCTCTCACCCTGGGAGCCCTCCGTCTCTTGGACAGGCAGTCGGGTGCATGTGGGTTTCATTGAACCAAAATCTGATCTCTTAGCTTCTCTTTAATAAAATGAACACAAAAATTTAAAAAGAAAATAATTTTGATGTGTGGCTAGAAAAATAGAAACAAATCCAGAGACTAGCTTCCTCTGGCTCTAAAGAAGAAGATGAGATTTGTCTTTAAAGCTCAGAGATGCACGTCTGTCTGGGGAGGAGCCACCCTGATGAAAGCTGAGGAAGTGTCTGCCTCCTCCTAGGCTGGGCAGTGGAGTCGGTCACTGGTGGAAAACCGCAAATGCAGATGTTAAATACCCTGTGCAGTGATGGAGAGGCTGCCTGCAGAACGGGAGGGTATTTATCTAGAGGATTATCTGTAATTGTTTAATGGGACGACATTGGTAGTTTTCCCTGGTAGACTGAGTCTCGGCCTTGGGAGGGGGTTGCTGGGACAGGGGCTAGGGACAGCGAGGACCAGAGAGATGTGCTCGTGGTAAGAAGGAGTGGACCCCACAGTACCAGGTCTGGGGGACTTCCTTGGGGAATACTGTGCGGACCCAAGGAGAGATAGAATAAATGTCACATGAACCTTGTGTTTTCTTCACTTTCTGGACAACTTAAACATTACAGAACAAAGGGGGCCGAGCTCGTGGCACACTCGGGAGGGTGCAGCGCTGGGAGAGCGGCGGCGCTCCTGCCGTGGGTTCGGATCCTATATAGGGATGACCGGTGCGCTCACTGGCTGAGTGCGGTGCGGCCAGTCTCAAAAAAAAAAAAAAAAAAAAACATTACAGAACAAAAAAAACAGAACTGGGACTTCTGGTTCCAGACAAGATGAAGCGGGCATGTTTCTCCCAATCCATCCCACTAAGTCCAACTCAAAGCACCAGACGTGACATTGTAGCATGAAGACAAAAGGCTCTGGAAGGCGGACATAAAGAGGTGGGTGGCTGGAGACCCCAGTACTTAAGAAATGACACAGCAGTGAGTTCCCTGGGTTTTTTGGTTTTGTTTTGTTTTGTTTTTTTGCCTCTTATATATCCCAGACTGGATGCTGGAGAAGCCTGCAACCCAGAAATGCCAATGGGTACAGACAAAAAGTAATAATGACACCCCCTCCAAAAGAAAAAATAAATAAATAAGAGAAACCTTCTCACTCTTTCCAAAGGACTGGGAAACGGGCAACCTAGCAAGACAGAAACTTTCTGACAATAAACATTCTAGTGTAGCAAATACCCAGGAAAAACCCTCTTCATCAACCGAGTGGACGGCCTTGGCTTCCCCACCTCCTGGCACACCAGGGTGGTGTCAGAGGAGGCTGAATGGGAAGCCTGGACTTTCACCACCAGCAGCAGCCGTCTCTGAACAGCCTGGATTTGCACCCAAGCCAGCGGTACAGAGTTGGTGTGCCCCTCCCCAACTCCAGTTTTGCAAGAGTCCTGGTACATCAAAATACTTAAATGAGAACCAGAGTCTTGTAACATAACACCCCAAATGTCTAGGATATGTCACAGCTAGAATAGAGAGTTGCACTAAATGCAAGAGTCCTGGTACATCAAAATACTTAAATGAGAACCAGAGTCTTGTAACATAACACCCAAAATGTCTAGGATATGTCACAGCTAGAATAGAGAGTTGCACTAATATACATGGATTCAATTATATTGATAAACATAGGATAAGGAAAAATAAAGTAGAAATATTGGTAAAGAATCTTTTTTTAAAACTGAAAGCTGTTAATTCCTACAGTAAAAATTACAATTAAAATTTAACTTACAATGGATCATGTACAAGGATACTTCAAAACATTCATGGAAAATGGAATTAAAACATCATATAAATCTTTCCATAAATGTTTTGAAGTACCCTTGTACTTAAATTTACAACTATAAAAACTTTTATGGAAAAAACCACAGAAGAACCTTTGGGACCTCTTTGAGTTGACTCCAAAAACACAATTGTCGAAAGGAAAAATTGGTAAACTGGACTTCAACGATATTATAAACTTTTGCCCTGTGAAAGACCCTGTCCAGATGAAAAGATGAGCGACAGCCTGGGGAACATATCCAGCAAGGGGTTGCACCTAGTAGGCGTGAGGAACTCTCAACCTCAACAGCAACGAAGCACATCGACCCACAAGCAATCCAATTAGGAAATGGGCCAACAGACCTGTCACTGAAGAGGCTTTGCAGATGGCGAATGAGAACGTGAAAAGAGGCTCAGCACTTGGAGCCATCAGGGTGAAAGATGGCACAGTGAAAGATGTCATTCTACACCTCTCGGAATGTCTAAAATAAAAAACTGATAACACCAGGTGCTGACGAGGATGGAGAGAAACCGGATCAGTGACACCTTGCTAGTGGGAATTTAAAAGGGTCCAACCACTGTGGAAAACAGCTGGGCAGTTTCTTAAAAAAATAAGGGTGCCCTTGCCATATAACACAGAAAATGTCACTGTTGGGCTGTTGTTTCCTAGAGAACTGAAGGCTTATGTTCATGCCAAAACCTGTACAGGAATGTTTATAACAGTTTTATTCATAGTAGCTGAAAGTTGGAAATAAATGTGCTTCAACACATGGTTATGGTAAATAGACGGTGGCCCGTGCACAGCAGGCAGCACCCCTCAGCAGTAAAAGGAGAGAGGTACGGGTTCATGCACCAACACACGTGGACCTTAGAAACGTACGTCATGGGAAACAAGCCAAGTCCCAAATAGAATCCCATACTGCACGATTCTATTTACACAACATTTTTGAAATGGAGAACAGGCCAGGGGTGAAGGAGGGGCTGGGGGTGGGAGGGAAGTGATTGTGTCTATGAAAAAGCCACACGAGGGATCCTTGTGATGACAGAATCCTTCTGTGTCCCTACCGTATCAAGTCGTGTCAATATCATGGTTGTGATATTGTACTCACACTCCCCATTTAATAGATGAGAAAACAGGGATTCAGAATTTAAGTGATTTGTCCGAAGTCCAGTGTCAGGTAGTGATGGGGCCAAGCCTGGACCCAGGTTGCTCGCTTCTCCCCGCAGCTGGACAGGAGAGAAGTTACGTGTCATAATGTAGTGCACAGTGGTGAGCATCGGAGGCTCTTGTGGTCAGCATGTTTCTCACCGGACAGGCCCCTGGCCACTAGCCTTAGCCCCTGGGAGAAAGCCCCTCTTAGGTGCCATCAGCACTGGCTTCTTGCTGACTGAGGCCAGACCCTCCTTTGGGGCAGTCCTTGCTTTATCTTCAAGAGCAAGAGAGAAAATACGTAAGGCATAAAAACATAAAAGGACATGTGTTTACAGTGGCCCCTCTGGGACCCAGTAGTTTGTGAAGGGAATCTGTTTCCTGAATGTACAAGTAATGGTTGTAACATACAAAGATAAAATAACAATACTAATACATTTCTGGAACATTTACTGCACCGGCCCTGTGCCAAGTGATTTATAGATTCTTTTCATTTCGTCTGCCAACAATCTTAGTAAGTAGCTGGTATTATCTCCATTTTAATGATGCAGAAACTGAGGCTTTAAAGAGTTCAGTTACTTACCCAAGGATAGTTCTCTCCCTGTTATGTAAAAAAAATAATCAAGGCAACATTTTAATAAGATTTGTATAACACGTATGCCTTCATAAAATGAAGACAATTATAAAAACAACATTCAAGGAAGGAGCTATTTGAGTGGAAATTCCACTGATGTGGTTCTTGTCCCAAGACTTTAAAACAGAAGCAGCAGAAAGAAAAGAACACACTCACCCACAAAAAACAGACACGTGGCAGAGGCAATGTTTTGTACCAGAAAAGGTGATTTTGGTTTTTGTCCTTGAGCAGCCTCGAGCCCCAACCACCAGCCTCTGCAGGTTCATGGTGAAGATGTGTGTGTTTCTCTGGTGATGCATTCCACAGTCAGACCACACTGCACCAGAGCACAATTTACTCATCCTCTTCCTGGTACTTTGTCTACGTTAGCTGTAGCCCATGACCTTGGAGTTAGTCCTCACCGTTCATACCCAGTGTCCATCCGTGGCCAGTCGCCAGGTCATTCGGTTTCAATCCATCTCCCTCTCTGTCTCAACCTGCTCATGCCCTGGTTCAGACCCTCACGTTTTTTTTTTCCTTGACTCCCCTCCACCATATGAGAGGTCTTCAAAAAGTTTATGAAAAATGCACTCCATCTCCCTCTCTGTCTCAACCTGCTCATGCCCTGGTTCAGACCCTCACGTTTTTTTTTTTTTAACCTTCTCTTAACTAATCCCTTGACTCCCCTCCAACATATGAGAGGTCTTCAAAAAGTTTATGAAAAATGCATGTCATAATGTAGTGCACAGTGGTGAGCATCGGAGGCTCTTGTGGTCAGCATGTTTCTCACCGGACAGGCCCCTGGCCACTAGCCTTAGCCCCTGGGAGAAAGCCCCTCTTAGGTGCCATCAGCACTGGCTTCTTGCTGACTGAGGCCAGACCCTCCTTTGGGGCAGTCCTTGCTTTATCTTCAAGAGCAAGAGAGAAAATACGTAAGGCATAAAAACATAAAAGGACATGTGTTTACAGTGGCCCCTCTGGGACCCAGTAGTTTGTGAAGGGAATCTGTTTCCTGAATGTACAAGTAATGGTTGTAACATACAAAGATAAAATAACAATACTAATACATTTCTGGAACATTTACTGCACCGGCCCTGTGCCAAGTGATTTATAGATTCTTTTCATTTCGTCTGCCAACAATCTTAGTAAGTAGCTGGTATTATCTCCATTTTAATGATGCAGAAACTGAGGCTTTAAAGAGTTCAGTTACTTACCCAAGGATAGTTCTCTCCCTGTTATGTAAAAAAAATAATCAAGGCAACATTTTAATAAGATTTGTATAACACGTATGCCTTCATAAAATGAAGACAATTATAAAAACAACATTCAAGGAAGGAGCTATTTGAGTGGAAATTCCACTGATGTGGTTCTTGTCCCAAGACTTTAAAACAGAAGCAGCAGAAAGAAAAGAACACACTCACCCACAAAAAACAGACACGTGGCAGAGGCAATGTTTTGTACCAGAAAAGGTGATTTTGGTTTTTGTCCTTGAGCAGCCTCGAGCCCCAACCACCAGCCTCTGCAGGTTCATGGTGAAGATGTGTGTGTTTCTCTGGTGATGCATTCCACAGTCAGACCACACTGCACCAGAGCACAATTTACTCATCCTCTTCCTGGTACTTTGTCTACGTTAGCTGTAGCCCATGACCTTGGAGTTAGTCCTCACCGTTCATACCCAGTGTCCATCCGTGGCCAGTCGCCAGGTCATTCGGTTTCAATCCATCTCCCTCTCTGTCTCAACCTGCTCATGCCCTGGTTCAGACCCTCACGTTTTTTTTTTCCTTGACTCCCCTCCACCATATGAGAGGTCTTCAAAAAGTTTATGAAAAATGCATGTTATGAAAAAACTATCGATGGATTGCAAATTTCTTTTGCACCAAAATTATTTTATACTAATTTGTTACAACATGTCTGAGCAGGATCAAGTTGGAGGCATTAAGAAGTTTCAGACGTCAGTTTGAAAAGAGTCCATGTCAGAGCAGCATGAGTTCTGCTAAAATTGAAGCAAGAACAAGCATCCCATTCATGGTGAAGTTGGGTGGAAGAATGTGGAAATCACTGATGCTTTAGGAAAAGTTTATGGAGGCAATGCCCCAAACAAACTAGCAGTTTACAAATGGATAACTTGTTTTAAGAAGGGACAAGACAATGTGGAATATAAAGCCCACAGCAGCAGACCCTCCACATCAATTTGTGTGAAGATAATCAATCTTGTTCATGCTCCGATTGAAGAGGACCAACGGCTAACAGGAGAAACAATAATCAATACCATAGACATCTCAACCGGTTCAGCTGACACACTTCTGACTGGAAAATTACAGTTGAGAAAACTTTCTGTTCAATGGGTGTCAAGACTGTTGTGCCCAATTGGTTCAGACAAGAGCAGAGCTTTCAATGGAAATTTAATCAAGAGGTCCTGAAGCATTTCTTCAAAGAATTTTAAAAGGAAATGGAACATGGCTTTACCAGTACCATCCTGAAGACAAAGCACAATCAAAATCATGGCTACCAAGAGGTGGAAGTGGTCCAGTCAAAGCAGAAGTGGACCTGTCAAGAGTAAGGGTCCTGGCAATAGTTTTTGGGATGCTTGAGGTATTATGCTTGTTGACTTTCCCAAGGGCCAAAGAACAATAACATCTTTTTATTATGAGAGTGTTTTGAGAAACTTAGCCAAAGCTTCAGTAGAAAAATGCCCAGGAAAGCTTCACCAGAGAGTCTTTTTCCACCATGACAATGCTCCTGCTCACTCCTCTCATCAAACAAGGACAATTTTGCAAGGGTTTCAATGGGTAATCATTAGGCATCCCCCTTCCAGTCCTGATCTGGCTCCTTCTGACTTCTTGTTTCCTAATCTTAAAAAGTCTTTAAAGGGCACCCATTTTTCTTCAGTTAATAAGGCAAAAAAGACTGCATTGACATTGTTACCAGTAACGTCAGTTCTTTAGACATGGACTAAATGGTTTACAAAAGTAAGCCTTGTCTTGAACTTGATGGGGCTTATGTTGAGAAATAAAGTTGTTATTTATTTTTTTTAATTTTTATCTTTTAGTTCCATTTTCCATGAACTTTTTGAGGTCCTCTCATGTTCTTCCCATCAAATTCTTATTCATCCTTCAAGGTAAATGCCTTGAAGTCTTTCCTGACAAAACTTTCCCTCAACAGAACCCACCCTCTGCTCTGCACTGCCTTTATAGCTTGTTCATATTCTCCTGTCCCATCAAATACAGTTATCCCATCTGCTTACATTTTCATCTCCCCCACTAGACCATAGGGTCCTGAGTCCCAAATGCCTGACAATTAGTTTTTCCTCAGTGAAGATTTGTTCAGTGCAAGTGATCAAACCTCTTCTGGCCCTCAATTTTCTAATTACAAAATGGGAATCAAAATGCCCACCTTGCAGAGATGTGAGGTGGTGGGTTGACGGAAAAAAAATGTCGAGGAGCTAGCACTGCACCTTGTGCAGCATGGCCGGGAAATGTGGATCCTTGTCCTCCTCTTTAGGGTTCGTTATAATGCTCTGTTCACCCTAGTCACCGTGTTAGGATCACAGAAAGGGAGACCGTCTCTTCACTGGAGAAAGACCACTTGCAAGGTTGTAGCTGCTCAGCTTCTCTGGAGAGAGGGTGGCATAGCAAAGGTGGACAGGGGGACAGGCTTTGGCAGCAGGAAATCCTGGGTTCAGCTCTGGCTGGGCTCCTAGACAACCTTCAGCAAGCCTTTTGTTCTCCTTGAGCCTCATGCTGCTTACATTAACATGGATGAGAGGAAGCCACATGAGCACGTGGTGGGTTCAGCTCTGGCTGGGCTCCTAGACAACCTTCAGCAAGCCTTTTGTTCTCCTTGAGCCTAATGCTGCTTACATTAACATGGATGAGAGGAAGCCACATGAGCACGTGGTACCCGGTGAGGGCTTGGACACATTCCCTATATGATTGGCAACCGTGGGAGTCACAGCCCCGTGTGATTTCATTTTGGAAGAGCCACACATTCCAAACAGCTCAGCTCACTGGCCCTGAGCAAACACCCACACCAAAGACTTGTGTCATTCTCCCCACGCCTCTGGAAGAACATCGAGGACACCCTGCTCACAACCCTGGCAACACTCCTCCTGTCCCCTTCTCTTTCCTGCCTGTTCCAGCCCTTTCCGGAGCCTTCAATTGGGGAAGACCCACAAAACTGGTCTCTGCTATTCCCTCTGCCTGCTCAGCTCACCATGCCTCCCTGTTCCCCATCTCTCTCTGTTCCCCATCTCTCTACTGCAGATGGAGTCTGCTTTTCTCCCACAGCCTCCCCCCTCCTCCCCGCTGCTCTGTCCTGTTCCTTCCATGGCCCTGCACTCTGCTCTGACCCTGCAGCTCCCGGAGCCAGCATGACAGGAGCATGCTCCTCCTGTGGAGATGGGATGGGGTGGCATGGGGTGGCATTATGAGACTTCCTTTGGCAGCCTACAGTAAAAGGGAGGCCTGCCAGTCCCCATCCATGAATGAGCTGTGCCCTGCCTCGAACAGACAGGTTAGGATGGGACTCACCACTCAACTGTGTTCTCTGCCCACAGGGTGACAGTGGGGGGGCATTCATCTGCACCCCGGGGCCTGGCATGAAGTGGTACCAGGTGGGCATCGTCAGCTGGGGAAGGAGCTGTGGACAGAAGGACACCCCAGGAATATACACCCTCCTGGAGAACTACAAGCTCTGGATCGAGAACGTGACCCAGCTGGAAGGAAGGCCCTTGGACACCAAGGAAATGAGGACCCCTCCCCAACATAAACCAAAGAGATCCTGGGCCTCGGGGCTCCCAGAGCCAGGCAGCCTCTGCCTTCTGTCCTACATATTGTTCAGAGCTATTTTCTACTGATAATAAAACAGATGCTATTTTTTGACCAAAGGAGGGTGTTTTAGTCTGTTTTGTGTTGCTATAACAGAACACCTGAAACTGGGTAATTTATAAGGAAAAGAGATTTTTGGGGCTCACGATTCTGGGACAGCTGCATCTGGCACAGGCCTCAGGCTTCTACTCATGGCAGAAAGCAGCAGGCAGCTGGTGGGTACAAGCAGATCACATGGCGAGAGGAGGCGGGAGAGAGAGAGAGAGAGAGAGAGAGAGAGAGAAGGTGCCAGGGTCCTATAAACAACCAGCTCTCGTGGGAACTAATAGAACGAGAACTCACACATTAATCCCCCCACCTAGGGAGAGAATTAATCCATTCATGAGGGACCCTCCCCGTGTCTCAAACTGTCACACTGGGGATCAGATTTCCACATGAGTTCTGGTGGGACAACACATCCAAACT